GGTCGTCCAGCGTTTTCTTCACGTCAGCCATCACGTTGTCTACCCGATTGTTCACTTGGTCGATTCGGGTTTCAGATTTCTCGATTCGGGTTTCAGCTTCCGACAGGCGGTTGTCATGTTGAGCAACCTTATCCTTCACCTCCTTCATCTCCTTCCCGAAGGTAGCGTGAAGGTCCTTCGTGAGGAGCATCTGCTCTTCCAATCGACGCGCCTGTTCCTCTTGTCTGCCCCGCAGCTGCTCTTCCAATCAACGCGCCTGTTCCTTTTGTCCGCCCCGCAGCTGCTCTTCCAATCGGCGTGCATGTTCCGCCTGCTGGTGGGCCTGTGCCTCCTGCCGCTCTTTCAACCAACGGGCGTGTTCCTCCTGTCGACGGGCCTGTTCCTCCTGTTGGCGGGCCTGCTCCTGCAGCATCACCATCAGAGCACCTAAGTCAGGTGCTGCAGATGTAGGAGCTACTGACGGGCCTGCAGCCGGTGGCTGGCCCTCCGACGTCTGTGGCGTTGCACCACCAAATCTTCTTTGGTCCGTCTCCTGCTGGCGTTGACTTCGGGTACGGACACCCTCCGTTTCCTCCTTAGGTAAAATCGGCACGATTTTACCCCACACCTGACACCAATTGTTACGTCTGACACAACTAGATACTTCGCCTACGCGGATTCCAGATGTGGAGGATCATGAACCTTCCCTGTTGGACCTTCTGTTAACGGACGGATATCAGATTTCCGTCGAAGCCCTTTAGGCTCCTCGGACCATTGTTTTGTCCGGAGTGTGGTGCCACTCACGCTGAAATCACAGTTGCATTCTGCAGGCTGCCGCCGTGTTTGGCACTATAGGTCAGCCGATTGGGATGGGATGCGGTCTTTCTTTGCATCCTACCCTTGGGTTTGCTTCTCGCCGGACGATCCCAACGTTGTTGCGGATTCTGTCGCTGATGTGGTACTTCAGGGTATGGAACTTTTTATTCCTTCCTCTGTGGTTGTGGTTGCCCATTGGAGGCAAATCTCAGCCATGGTTTGGTCGCTCCTGTAAAATAACATCATGCTATAAGCAGGAGTGCTACCAAGCCTGGGCTGACGCATCAGCGTTCCGGGATGTAAACACCAGCCCTCTAAAACGAAGTATAATTCCGCCTCTAGATCCTCCAAAAGAGTCATTGCTAAGGCAAAGTCAGAGCACATAGGCAGAATTGGCGAGAAACTAGTTCGCCTTCCATCTGGAACCCGTGCATTCTGGTCTCTCGCCAAGGCTGTCCAGGGGAATTTCTGTCAGCCATCTCTTCCATCTCTGCACAGGGAGGACGACTCACTGGCCCACACCGCAAAGGAGAAAGCCGATCTTCTAGGCTTTTTTTTGCATCCAACTCGACTCTCGATGACGGGGGGAGTACGCCGCCGACCATCCCGCGGTGTGAGTGCTCCATGCCGGAAGTGCAGTTCACACAGCGCTCGGTTCGCAAAGCACTCCTCTCCCTAGACATCCACAAGTCGAGTGGGCCTGACGGGATCCCGCCAATTGTGCTGAGGATGTGTGCTTCAGAATTGGCACCGGTTTTAACGCGTCTTTTCCGGTACTCCTACTCCCTAGGCGTAGTCCCAAAATCATGGAAGACGGCTTTCTTCCACCCGATCCCTAAAAAAGGCGACCGCTGAGACCCATTCAACTACCGGCCTATCGCCATCACCACCTTGTTCTCCAAAACAATGGAGTCAATTGTAAACTGCCAGCTCATGAGGTAACTTGAGGATCACCAGCTGATTAGTGACCGCCAATACCGTTTTCGCCGCGGTCGGTCAGCTGTTGATCTTCTGGTCTACCTAACTCACAGATGAGCGGAGGCAGTACAGTCCAAGGGGGAGGCATTGGCCGTTAGTTTGGACATTGCGTAGGCCTTCGATGGCACAAAGCGCTTCTTTCGAAACTCGCTTTCTATGGGCTTCCCGAGAAATTGTGCGATTGGATAACCAGCTTTCTTGCAGATCGGAGCATCAAGGTCGTTGTAGACGGTGCAAGCTCCGATTGCAAACCTATTAATGCTGGTGGTCCACAAGGCTGCGTGCTGTCGCAAACGCTGTTTCTTCTGCATATCAATGATATGTTGCAAACCCGTAACATTCATTGCTATGCAGATGACAACACTGGTGATGCTCTTTACACCGGCCGAGCCAATATTTCTCGGGAAAATGTCTCCGAATGCCGGAACAAACTTGTGTCTGAAGTCGAGTCTTTGCTGAACAGAATCTCGGATTGAGGGCGACTAAATCTAGTCCAGTTTAACCCCCAGAAGACACAAGTTTGCGCGTTAACCGCTAAAAAAACCCCTTTGTCATATCTCCTAAGTTTCAAGGCACTCCCCTTGCTGCGTCAGCCAGAACCGGAATCCTCGGCGTCGACATATCGAGTGACGTGCAGTTTCGTGGTAACTTGGAAGAGAAGGCCAAATTGGCCTCTTAAAAGCTTGACGAGCTCAGCAGACCGGGACAGTATTTCATGCCGGCACACCACCTGCAACTTTACAAGGCGCAGGTTCCGCCGCACATGGAATACTGTTCCCATCTCTGGGCTGGGGCTCCCCAGTACCAGCTCCTTCCACTTGACCGCATCCAGCGCAGAGCGGCTCGAATCGTCAACGACCGAGTGCTTTCCGATCGGCTTGATTCATTGGCACTGCGAAGAGATGTTGCATCTCTTTGCATTTTCTTTCGCATGTACCATGGAGAGTGCTTTGAGGAATTGTTCGGATTAATCCCGGCCGCCAAATTGCGTGAACGCACTACGCGGCAAACGTCCCGATATCATCCACATCATCTGGATGCTTGGCGGTCCACCACTGTACGTTTCAACAGGAGTTTTCTTCCGCGTACAACCTCTCTGTGGAATAGTTCACCACCGGCGATTTTTCGGGACCGATACGGCCTGGGACCTTCAAGAAAAGAGCTTACTCCTTTCTAAAGGGCCGGCAACGCACCTGCAATTCCCCTGGTGTTGCGGTCACTTAACATCAGGTGAGCCGCATGCTCGTTTGCCCCCTCTTCTATTAAAAAAAGAGCTTGAGGTTCGTGACAATAAAAACTGCCGATTGAATTACCAAAATTTACACTTTAATTTTTTAACACCAATTAAAACTTAAAACATTAATAATTAATCACACTGATTCACTTTATTTCGCTTCGAAGCTTCGCTTGTCTCGCCAAATTCAATACTGCCCCGATCGCGCAGTGGCTTTATATAAGGCTCTTCCATGAAAACATCCAGAATATTCCAGAATATTCAAGTAAATACGTGCGCCAACCGACCAGGCGCAGAAAGTTCGAGTGTGGGGCTTCCAGAAAGCTTAATTCTTCTGTTCGATACTAGATGGCGCCGTTGGTCGAAAGTCAAGATTGACATTTTGTGGGAAGCCCCCCTCGCTCTGGTCCCCGACACTTGATGGCGCTAGTGCCGAGTACAAGCCGTCAACTTAGGCGCGCAACAGTACTTTAATTCCATTAATTTATGTTTTATTAAAAGTGTTCATGCATGAAGAGGTTGATAAATGATGAAGCAAAAGAGCTTTGCTTGGATCGAAGTAATTGACGTGCCATAGTATCTACCGATCTCAATAGGCGTCAGGTGTGATGATTTATTTATATATAATTAAAAATTGTCAATGTTAAGCACATAATAAGACGAGTCAATAAAAGCATTTTCAGATTGTTTTCCTGTTATGGAAAAAGGAGATATGTCAATTATTTTAATAATTATATTAAATAGATATAATATTTAAAAGAAATATTTTTCGAAAACATAAAAGGCGACTAAATTGTGAAATGAAAATTAAAACAAACTTTTATTAAGTATTTCTATATATTTTTGGATTAAACTGCATAAATCTTTTAAAACAAATAAGCGTTTGCTTCATCAGCCCCTGGTGAAATGTTGTGTTTTTAGACTCATCCCCCTTAAAATATTCACAAACAAAAAGTCACGTAGATTTTTATTGTGTCGTTTATATGTTTAACGTTTTTGTTTTTTGCATGAAAATACACTGCAATTCGGAATTTTTTCGGAGTTCGATTGACTGGCACGATCATGGAAACTAGTTGCTCCGCGTCGTGCGCCATTCCGCAGTTTTATAAAACCCCAGCAATACATGTTCGGCAAGCCTCAGCCAACGCGAACGTAAGCAAATTGATACAAGGCGAGTGCTACAGTCTACACGTTGGTCAAGTTCGAAAGAGACCAATTCCAAGGCCAATATTCAACGGGTATGAGTTTATAGTAAATTTGTGGGTATGAGTGAGTCCCCAGGAGTTATAGTGTTCTGTGAGTGAGTCGGACTCGTACCTTTGACGAAGAGCTATGCCTTGCGATGCCGCCTCCTTTGGTTTAATACTTAAAGTTCTTAGGTCGTTGGTAACTATAATTATAATGGGTGCGTTTGGCAGAAAAAAGCGCTAGCAAGCGCTACAAGTGCTGAAATAGTTTTCGGCCAGGACACGATTGCTACTTCAGTAGCGCTGACACAATCCGCCATTTTGCTTTTTTAATTTGTTTGTTTTGAAGTAGAGTTTATAAGTTATTTTGTGCAGTATTAGTTTTAAGTAATATAATGACATGAATAAACATATACATGTTATTAAAAATTCATGATTGGTAAATTTTTAATATGAATACTTTACAAACATAAATTTAAATTAGGTTAGGTTCCCCGGTTAAAACTAACTTCGTGTCCTAGAGGAAAATAGCTACTTACGATTTGACAGCGCTTACCGCTTACGATCGCCATTTTGCTTACAAACGCTTGCTAGCGCTTTTTTCTGCCAAACGCACCCAATATAGATTATAGAGTTATTTGAAGTCTGTGGTTATCTTACGTCATTACACGAGAAATGAGACATCCATGCGACATCTTGTTCTTGTTCTAAATAATCTTTCAGTTCTTTCTTTTCATTTTCAGTATTTCGGTCGAATTTTTCAACCAGTTTAATACTGGGATATTTATAAATTTCACAATTGTAATATGCTTGAAAAGAAGCCAAAATCAGCTTCTAAACGGTTTATAAGATACGCTTTAGGAACGGTATTCGTCGCGGAAGCTGTAGGAATTGCAGTATCATACGGCTTATATTTTAAATTAAATACAGATAGAGGTAAGTTTTATGAAGTATGTCTGAAGACTTGAGATTCTTGAGAATCGACCGAAGTTCTCGCATTCTGGCTCGCATGTTGCAGAGAATAATTCAGAGAGTTAGAAGAGTGATTCTAATTTATTGAATTATTACTTTCTACATCTTCCATTAATAAAGCACTGACAATAAAAACCTAGTTAAAATCTATCACAATTCACTTGTAATTACAGTGCGACAGATGTATATGAAATGGAAACAATTTTTTTCGGTGCAGTCGATTTTTTTGGCACGGTCCATTCTTTCGGTGCCGTTGATCCTTTCGGTGTGAAAATGCAAGGTCTCCTTGAAATCGATTCGTTCAACGTGATTAGTTCGAATAAGTGTGTATTCACCTTTAAATTGCAATGTTTTTCTGCCAAGTAGGTACGATTTAAGGGAATCTCCTACTCCATATCATCCTATCGTTAGAGACGACAAAAAGGGAATAAATGAAACAAGATGGGCAGAAGCTTATTTGTGATAAAATTCAAATAAAAAAATGCATTTGCCAACCTTTATATCCTTTTCTGGCAATCTATGATGAGGTCTGTGTTCTACAGTAGTCTTGCATAGGTTGTGATTAATGAATGAATACAATCTTTTCTATTTTTAATAGCACTCATTGAATTTTGTGGTTCAATTTCATTTCATTTTGTCATGAGCTTTTCTCCATTCCATAATATTTTAAGACTGTTTTTTAAATATCTGCAATTATTGATCAAAAATTTCACTCAATTTAGTACAATTTTTATTATTAGGCACACTTGTTAGAATTATTGAGCAAAACTGTTTCTAAAGTTTCACCTTTTTTATTTTTACAGATTTCCGTTTATACATGCACAAGAATTACTACTGGGTATTGGACGGTTACTATGGTCTTGGTGAACTTCTAGGTGGGCAAAAAACCCGTGAGTTAGATCACAAAGTCTGGACCAACGAAGGCAAGATATAAATCACCGGTGAGATGAGTGTTGCAGTTAGGTCCTGTTTTTGGATGTTGACATTCGGAAGCCTCGGTTATGGACTGTTCAAGGTGGTCAAACCTGATGATGAACTGCTCAAGAAGGTCATTACCCTTTAACATATTTGTTACGTATGGTAACTGGTTTGATTGCTTTTGGAAGATCAGTTCATTTACCACTTAAAAAATAAGTGATACTTCCTATGACACCACTGTAGGTGGTGTAGGTACCTCCTTCTTTTATTCCAGATCTTAACTTTTTTTTAGTCCCAATCTTAACTTTTTGCTTTGGGTGTTAACACCGTAATTAACTTTTTAAACCTACTACTGTATAAGTAGGGTAAACAAACATGTTTTATTATGTAGATTGAATTTTATATATCTAATTTATTAAATTCTTTGTTTATGTTGTGTGTATGTGTCTGTGTGAGAAAATCATTATTAAGAAACATTACAACTAAATTATTACAACTTAATTAGATCAATTGAAGAAGGGACCTTAAGTTGCTGAATCTCAAATTTTAAAACTAATAAAATGTAATACTCGTAATATGTAAGGGAAATTCATCAAGTTTGATCACATACATAACTTATGGCATTCATATTGGACCAACATCTTAAAAATATGACTTGTAATTTTTGCTTGTAATGTAACAAGCAAAAATTCCCCGCCGGCACTAATGAAATTGTTAATTGCAATTTTAAGTACTGATTTACCACGTGCTCGCCGGTGAAGGAAAACATCGTGAGGAAACCTGCATGTCTGAAAAATAAAAAATAAATATTTCGAAGACATGTGAAGTTCGCCAACACGCACTGGGGCAGCGCGGCGGACATTTCCTTGCCCTAAAACCCTCTCAGAAATGAGAGGAGGCCTGTGCCCAGCAGTGGGACGTATATAGGCTGTAACTTTACTTTTTTACTTTTATGTAACAAGTCGGATTTGAGGATTATATTGATAACTTAAAGCTCAGTTTGACTGCAACTTTTGGTGAAAAATGTATCCACATAGTGGTACCAGTTGTATGGTGTCTAGACTATCACTCTGATTGATCCTTTAAACAATCTGATATTAATTTTAATTTTATAAATAAAAGAGAATGTTGTCTTGATTGTTTAATTCATAAATGTTATTAAGATACAAAAGCAATAATGGTATTTCAGTTAGTTATATAGTCTGTTCGCTTAGATACAGTCGCCTTTGTGTCGCGCCGCTTTGGTATGTACTGCATATTGTTAAAGGCGCCGCCGCAACATCAAAGGTTTTGTCATATGCGGCGTACACCAGCAGAATTTGGCATTTTAAAATGAAGGGATGTAGTGAAAGATTATTTACTACCTAACTTGTGTTTGATATTATATTTGTATTTTATTACAATAACCATAACAATAAAACAGTATTCTATTTTTTCTGTGTTTGTTATATAAATGTTTTTCTATAACAAACAGAATTTAACAAAAAAAAAAATAATAGTTACAACTCGGATTGACCGACAATATCTTGTGAACAGACTATGCTCCATTGTAATTTAATGTCTGAATTCTGAGATATTTCATTACAAGCAAAGATTTCAGTTAATACTTGCTTTTAGGCTTAACACTTTCAAAATGTTGCATTACTTTACACTTCCGTAATGATAGTCTACCCTAATGGTAGTGTTAGCATTCATTGTAAAAAAATTTTTGCATATCATCTTAATCATTATTTTCTTCATAAATCATGTTAACATCTATCCATTTATGCTTTTCCAAATTTTATATTGTTATTAATTTGGTTTCACCTAGAAGAATCTTTATTTACTGACATTATAATATTCAAATTTGTTATTTTTAGTTTGATGAAGAATCCAAGCACACGGAAACTAGAAAACGTACCCAAGATACAATAGCCATACTTAAGGAAGCTACTAAACAAGATTCTGAAATAAACAAGAAAATTGAAGTACTCTTGAAAAAATGAGTGACAAAAGTTCTATATTAGAAAGGCTGAGTAGGCGAGATGCACAACGTTTAGAAAAACTTCAAAAAGCTCACAAAGCCAGAGAGGAAGTGGATGCTTCCAATGAAAATGAAGATTATTTCTCAGGAGCTTTCAAAATTAAATCCGAGTATATAGAACAACTGCTCTCTCAAGTTCCTACAGTAGAGGTATCAGTGTTACCTTCCCATTTTGATAACATTAAAAGAGAGGTTAATGAACTACAAAAATATGTTGTCACATCCTCATTTTTTCTGAAAGAGTTCAACATGCGCAAATATTTGGGAATTGTGCAAAATTTACAATCAAAATGTTATGAATTAGAAGACAGGTATGTCCCTCGTAAAAAGTTTGGGTTCACAAAGAAGAAATTGCCAAAATCTGACAGTCACAAGCAAAACTCAATAGATGATCATGATGGTGTAGGCAAAGTGGACAGTAACAAATGGGACGAAAAGTTTTTTGGCTTTGATTCACAGAATGGGAAGGTACTATTGTTAGAAAATGATGATCTATTCCAAAGAGATGTGGCATTGAGAAATCTTAAAAATTGTACAATTGGTCTCAGAGGTGTTATGGGAACATTGCACTTGACAAATTTGGATAATTGTGTTGTTCTCTCTGGTCCAGTAACTTCATCTGTGTTTGTAGATAAGTGTACAAATTGTAAGATAGTCGCGGCTTGCCAACAACTCCGCATGCACACTTCAAATAAATGTGACATATACCTTCATGTCACAAGTAAGGGTATTGTTGAAGATTGTTCAGAAATAAGGACAGCACCATACAATTTAAACTATGATGATTTAGAGAAGCATTTTAACATGTCATCTTTAGATAGAAATAATAATAATTGGGACTGTTTAGATGATTTCAACTGGCTTGCTCCAGATGTACCTTCACCAAACTGGTCAATTTTAGATGCGAAAGATCGTGTTCATGATTGGAAAGAATGGTGGTCAAAGGTTCCATCATAATAAACTTATTTAAAAACAATTTAGAATATTGCCTTGAATTAACAAAATGAATTTCACGTTTTAAGGTGAATCAAAACACACAAAAAATTTAACTGTTACTAACTGGTGCTTCAAATTTCGTTTTTATTTCTTAACAAACTTGCTTACTGTAAATTGATTGTTTAATAACTTTAGTTTTATATTTAGAACTGGACACAAAAACAATACAACAATAATATCTCAGAAAAGCTCTGTATCTATGTGCCGCGCGCTAAAAGTTTACCGATGATCTCCCCCTCCTACTTCCGCCGACTGGTGCCCGTCCCGCGGGACTCGCGCACTTGTATGGCATACCTGCGTGCGTGTTGTAAATAATCTTTTTGCAGTTTTTTTTTCATTAGTTCGTTTATTATAGTCTATCAAAGTCCACAGCCGAATATAGACCTCTATACTTATTAAAAAAAAAGAAATTATCTATTCCTGCAGCTTTTACGCCATTAACAAAATAAACTCTAAAAAAACGGTAAAAAAAACTCCGCCAGTATAGCGAGATACATTCAACCAATAATTGTATACAAATTACACTTGTTTGTTGTTGTGAGTTCTTAATTTATTTAAATTAGCAGCAATAATTTTGTTTACAAATTGACCTTATAATGATGTATAACTTTTTAATCTTAAAAAGAATGTTTTATCTAGTTATTAAATTGGAATCATGTATGTCATATTTAAATAACAATACAAAATAGAGTATTTATAAGTCCAGAATACAAGCCATAAAAAATAAAAATGCATTTATTAATGCTGATGCGTATGTATGAAACTTGTATAGAAAAAAAATCTTGATATAAAATAATATAACTGATAATGATAATTCTAATGTAGACTGCTGTAATACAAGGTCTAGTTCATTAGAATTTTCTTTAATAATTAAATATTTTGAAACAAACATGCTGAATGCAGAATTATTTCTATTTTGATTACATAGTCCAAAAGCTTAAATAATAAACTATTACTTTACTCAATACATAGTTTCTTAGTTAACAAAATATTTGCAACTTTAATACATTTAATACAGTTATTTATACTATAATAAATAATATAGAATGTAGTTAAAGCATTTTTTTAATTTGATGTAATATTTCCCCAAGACCGATTTTCAATCACGGTACTCAAATGATAATCGGGAGCCATCAACATACAAGAGATTTGTCTGCCAGAAAGAGCCAACTGTCAAAGCTGAAGGCTGAGTGTGGCAGCATTGTTTCCGGGACACCTGAGATTTTGAGTGAGATTGAAAGGTTCTATGGGCAGCTGTACACTTCATCGTTGGAGCCACACACAGGTGTGAGTAACGATCAAAGAGCAAGTCTTATACAACACTATTCCGATGATATGCCGGACGTCAGTCTGAGCGAGATTAGAATGGCTCTCCAGCACCTTAAAAACGGCAGGGCCCCGGGCGAGGATGGAATTACAGCGGAGCTACTAAAAGCGGGTGGACCACTGTTACTTAAAGTCCTTCAGAAGCTCTCCGTGGTGGCACTACTCAGGAGGCGTGGAGCAGAAGTGCGGTGGTTGTATTCTTTAAGAAAGGCGACAACGCCCTTTTGAAGAACTACAGACCGATTTCCCTTCTGAGCCGCGTCTACGTGCTGTTTTCGAGAGTCATTACGAATCGTCTCGCACGCAGACTCGATGACTTCCAGCCTCCCGAACAAGCCGGTTTCCGAAAAGGCTTCAGTACCATAGACCACATACATACCCTGCGGCAGATTGTATAGAAGACCGAAGAGTACAATCTGCCACTTTGCCTGGCGTATGTGGATTATGAAAAAGCCTTTGATTCCGTCGAAACTTGGGCGGTGCTACAGTCCCTTCAGTAGTGCCAAGTTGACTGCCGGTATATCTGAAGTGCTGAAGTGTTTGGAGCATAGTGCTCCCAACAACTACCGGTATGCCACTATGCTCGAAGTTGTTGACGAGTACGTTTACCTGGGACAAATAGTCCGACTAGGTAAGGCCAACTTCGACCGAAAGGTCAATCGACTGATTCA